AGGGGCAGGGAGAGAGGGAGGGAGAATCCCCACAGGCTCTGCGCGGTCAGCACAGGGCCCGATGCGGGGCTCGAACTCATGAGTCGTGAGATCATGACCTGAGCCGAAACCAAGAGTCAGACGTGGAGAAAAACTTCTATTGATTTTTTAAAATTCTGTTTCAACTGTTTCTGGTTATGATGTAATACGATGGATGGATGCTTGCTTTGCTTTCTCTCGGTTACTGGTCCATGGGATGTCTCTTCTCTCCTTCTCTCTCCATAACAGCTGTGTGGAGATAACAACTCATTAAAAGTACACGATTCGGGGGGCACCTGCATGGCTCAGTCAGTTAGGCGTCCGGCTCTTGATTTTGGCTCAGGTCGTGATCTCGCGGTTGGTGAGATGCAGCCCCGAGTCAGGCCCCACACTGACAGCACACAGTCTGCTTGGGATTCTCTCTCCCCCCCTCTCTCTGCCCCTCCCCTACTTCCACCCTCTCAAAAAATAAATAAGTAAACATTAAAGAAAGGTGTACAATTCAGTGGTTTTTACTATATTCCTAGAACTGTACAACCATCACCCTGATCATTTTGAGGACATTTCGTCCCCCAACAAGACACCGCCTCCCCCCTTCGTGGTCATCCTCTCTTCCCCCCTCCCCCTAGGTCCCTGGCAACCACCAATCCACGCTCCATTTCCATGGGTTTGCCTCTTCTGGAGACTTCCTTAAAGGGAATCATGTGGTGCGTGGTCTTTTGCGATTGGCTTCCTTTCCCTCAACATCATGTTTTCCAGATTCATCCACGGTGTAACATTACCAGTACTTCGTTCTTGTTTGTGACTGGACGGTATCCCACTGTGTGGATGTGCCGTTACCCACTCCTCTGCAGGTGAGCACCGGGACGGCCTCCGCGCGGGGCTAGGATGGATCATTCTCTTTTTATCTTTTAACGATGCTTCATAAACTTAGCAACTGCAGCTGGCCCCACCTTCTCCTAAGCTTGCCTGTCTGGCCCTACGTCGTGACTTGCCCAGAGACCAACTATCTCTGGGTTGACCGCCCCTTCTCCAATCCTCTTTAGCAGGCACTTGTTCTTCTGCCTTAAACTTGACATTATCTCCAAATGGCAACATGTTTTGAGAAACGTCCTCCGTGGCATTTCTGGTCTTCTCTACGGCTCCCTTTCTGTACGCTCGCTTAAAGATCTTTTTAAAATTCTGAGACGCCAACCCATCCATTCTCATTTTGCAGATCCGTGAGGCTCTGTTGACAGGGCTTTGCATGGAACATTTCTGCCTTCTGTCTTTGGACACCCCTCCCCCCCGCCCCTCGCTTCCCAAATCCAGTCTTCACACCTGTGACACGTAGGAAAATCAAAGGTTGTTCAAAAATAATGAAGCTGAATATCAAAGAAGTGAATAAAGCTTGTGAGAGACAAAACCCGAATCTGGCCCGGGTCTGTTGATGCCCACCCAGTCGCAGAAGCTTTCCTGTCAGACCTTGCGGCAACGATTCAACTCACCGGGGACGGATAGGGCGCTGGTGTATGTGAACGGGAATTAAAGTTTCCTTTTAAATCATTTATCTTCCAATGAAAAATCAGTAGGTAAAACAGGACCTAATTAACACTGGGTAAAAACGGTGTCATGATACCAACACCGCACAGCTCAGAAACGTGGACGGGATGCTCTCGCGATCACGACGAAATGGCAGTAAGCTAGCAAAACACATCTGCTCTATACTTCCATTAGTAATTCTGACCGGGGCTGGGTTAAAGTTTACTTCTTAAGCTCTTTTAAGAAGGGCTTTGCTAAGCAAATTAACAGTACCAACAAGATTTCTGGGTTCTGTTGAAACTACTTAAAAGCACAGGCTGTTTCCAAATACATGAGGCAGACCAAGGATTACATATGCACTTATCTCTCCGCGGGTATTATACACGGGCATAAAATCAGCAATCAATCCGGAGCTCACAAAATGAAGTTCTGAGGCATTCTTGTCTGTTTACTTAATATTTCCCTAAAGGATTTTATTAAGTCATAGTTTGCTAGGCCACATCTTGCTTGGTTTGAAAGTAATAAAATATCTTTTTTTAATTGGCAAATAATTTAAAATTTTACCCAGTGCGCCCGGCCTTCTCAGACATTAATCCAAATTATGATCGGACGAACGATTCCAGTCGTGATAGAGAGATTTACAAACCACTGAGTTCCGCTGGTAAGGAACATGCGAAATTGGACAGTAATGCAGACAAATAAACGCACAGGGATAATAGAACAAAAACCCAGAGCTTAGACACATTAAGTTAAGCTCTGTCCTTAAAAACCATTTTGTGGTAAATATCGAGAGGCCAGACAAGGTGCCTCTGCAATTTAGAATAAGATTATCATTAAGAAGGAGAGGAAAGAGGGAAGAACTCACGGAATCTCAGTTAATCCACTTGCAAGCACCCAATGTGGGGGTAAATCATTGGCCCCATTTTACACAGGACTCTGTGGCCCGGCGTGCGGTCTGGCATGCTTAATTCCTGGCCCTGAGGTTGTAATGTTGCCATTGTGGGCATCTACAAACGGAAAAGAATGAGCTTCTTTAGAAAAGAAATTATTCCAGGGGCACCTGAGGGGCTCAGGTGGGTTAAGCTCCCGACTTCAGCTCAGGTCATGATCTCACGGTTTGTGGGTTCAAGTCCCACATCGGGCTCTGTGCTGACAGCTCAGAGCCTGGAGCCTGCTTCGGATTCTGTGTCTCCTTCTCTCTCTGCCCCTCCCCTGCTCACACTCTGTGTGTGTGTCTCTCTCAAAAATAAATAAACATTAAAATTTTTTTTTAATTAAAAAAACAAAAAAGAAGTGATTCCGTGCAGAGGTTTCCCACCGTGGGGCCAAGAGGGGTCCCGCTCGAGCTGCAGTGATGTTTGGAAGGCTGTGATCTCGGCCACAGCGGCGTGCTCCACGTGAGCAAAGGCAGAGCTGATGGAAGCCGGTGAAGGTAGAAGGTCTGTGGGCATCTCCCTGAGGGCTGACAGAGGAGGCTGAGCCTGGTTCCTTGGTAGATTATCCCTCAGATCCTTAGTTTGTAATAGCCATTTAGTGGAATTAACGAAATTTGCCATTAAATGGACAAAAGAGGGGCGCCTGGGTGGCTCAGTTGGATGTGCGTCTGACTTTGGCTCAGGTCATGATCTCACGGTTCGTGGGTTCGAGTCCTGCGTTGGGCTCTGTGCTGACAGCTCAGAGCCTGAAGCCTGTTTTGGATTCTGTATCTCCCTCTTTCTTTGCCCCTCCCCTGCTCACATTCTGTTTCTCTCTGTCTGGAATGGGGCACCTGGATGGCAGAGGTGGGGTCTGGCCCTCTAGAAAGGGAGCACTTATTGGAAATAAAGACATTGGCACCCTGGCTGATACACCAATGTCTTCTGAGTCTGGGATGTTCTCCCGTGGGGTCACGACCATTGTATTTCTGGACATTCAAGGCAGACCCTGAGCCTGAACAACAGCTCCAGGGTGACCCCCCCAACTCCTTGTGCCATCAGTCGTCCCACGACACAACCCATGACAAAACGCAGCAATTAACAAAGCAAAATGTCACACAAACAACTGCAAAAGAAAAAAAAGCAAACCCACAAATGCCGCCTTATAGACATTAGCGTGTGTATGTTTGACAATTTTGCAGATAGCAACTGTACAGAGAAGCTTCTGCTTGAAGATTAAAGCCCCTATGAAAAATGCCCCGTGGTATCTTCAGGCGTGATTACCTAGAATAGACGTCAATAGCCATTACGTCCTTAACATTTGCACTGACAATTCAGACTCAGAAGCATTCCATCACACGAGATGAACATTTCGATGCCGCTAAGAGCGCGGACGTCCTTGAAGCCTGCCCCCTCCATCTTCTGCTTAGCTTCACTTCCATGCCTGGCCCGGTATAAACTCCACCTTCAAGTAGCCAAACCTTGCCCGGCACCGTCCTGCGCCAGCGAAAGAAGCAGAAAGCGAATTGGTTTCTAAGCTGCTGATTCCCCAAGTTCATCACCAGCTCCTGCTGGCACGAAGGCCCGTCGGTGCCAAGCAAGGAGTCAGAAGCCTTTTGTCTCCGTTTATTTGACGGCTGCTGGTAATTAGAAAATTAGCTCTAAATTCATCTTTCAAAAGCAACTGCAGTCCAGTCTCATTGCTGAAGGGTACTCGGTCCATAACTTCCTGACAGATTGCTGGAGGGAGGTCAGAGACAACGTCAGGAAGAAAACACTCCAAAGGCTCTGAGGCAGTGGGACAAAAAGCGTGTAGTTTCCCATTAACTCCGGAGCCCTTCACTTCCGTTCTCCGGGACGCTGTGTGTCCGAAAGCGGAAGAGGGTTCGTTTGTTCCCTTGCACGGGGATCACGAGGAGAAAGGGTGAGCTGGGTGAGGGGATCACGAGGAGAAAGGGTGAGCTGGGTGAGCTCTACTGTGGTCAAGGCCAAGAGCATCAGCTGTGCCTCACTCCCATTCACACGGTTCACAGCAGGAACTCTGGCCTTTTTTTTTTTTTTTTTTTTGAGAGACAGAGAGAGACAGAGCACAATCGGGGGAGGGGCAGAGAGAGGGGGAGACACAGAATCGGAAGCAGGCTCCAGGCTCTGAGCTGTCAGCACAGAGCCCGACGCGGGGCTCGAACTCACGAACTGCGAGATCATGACCTGAGCGGAAGTCAGACTCCTCAACTGACTGAGCCCCCCAGGCGCCCCAGGAGCTCAGGACTTAAGAGCACATGGTTATTTGGACTCTTCCAGGTCATTCCGCAGATGAATGCCAGGCACTGTTCAAGGCTGTGTGGAACGGAGCTCAACAAGACCTGGGGCTACATCCCAAAGGCAGACCAACAATAAATAGGCAACACTAAGCACGCAGACAAGAATTCAGATAAAGGAGATTTTACAACATGAGATGTGCTGGAAATCATATGCTGGGGAGGGGGTGCTCTAGCGAGCAGCTATCCTGGGGAAACGGCAGTTGTGATAAGGAGCCACCACGCTTACCTCAGAGGGAGGAGGCCTCCCAAATGGGCACGAGTTTGGCATTTACGAGGCAGCACGAGGCAGCAAGAGGCTGGAGCGTGGCAACAGTGGGAAGAGAGCTGATGCAAGGTCCAAGCTGCTGGCGGGAGCCGGGTGGCGCAGGTGCTGCAAGCCAGGGCGGAGCATGCCGGCCTGAAATGGAGGAGCCAACATCTTGGCCTCCTTCTAGATCAAACGTTCAAGGTCAACAAACCAAAGGCTGATTTCTTTACGCTTCAGCCCGGGCTGTTGAAAATAGTCAAGCCTAAATACTTCCCCAGTGAGCATCTCCGTGAACGGCAACCTGATAAGGAAGGAATCACAGCTCCCTCAGACCTGCAGACGAGGTCGCTGGCCTCCCTCCATGCGCGGCCAGTCTGAGATCACCCTCCACAGAGCGACACCTTTGCCGTCAGCAGATGGCAATGCGACAGACGTCCCGATCGGAGAGGATGGCAATGACAGTCTAAAGCACTGCCTTAGGCTCTCTGGGGGGACGAGAAGCCATGAGACAAGAACTAAAGGGAGAAAAGCACTTTTTCTTTTTAAAATAAGCTTCACGCCCAGCATGGACCCCGAGACACATGACCCTGAGATCAAAACCTGAGCTGAGATCAAGAGTCAGACGCTTAACTGACTGGGCCACCCAGGTGCTCCCAGAAAAGGAGCTTCTAACATGTAAATTGTGGGGCCCCTGGGTGGCTAACAGGGAACGATGGGGCTCAGGCTCTGAACACAGTTGAAACTGTGGGTCGTCCAAGTTCACATGAAAGTTCCTCAAGAAGCTGCACTGGCCTCTCAATCTCGAGTCCACAGGTCTGGCGTCGCCGAACAGGGAAAAGCTCAGCGTGTCTTCGTCAGACCTGCCGAAATGGCCGCCATGCAGCTGGGGGGTCTTGTCCGGAGCCCCTGGCGCCCCCCCCCCCTTTCCTGCACACTTCCCAGCCCTGCGCCTCAGACAAGCTCTCCGAGCCCCGTCCCCCAGGAGGGGATTCGAAGAAACGAATGCCAATGTGGCTTTGGTGAACTGGGTGCACTATACAGACATTAATTACTGTCATTGCAGAGGGTTTGAGAAAAACGAGGACAATGAATTAATCAAGTGCTTACAAGCGCTAGGACGCGCCGACCATCCGATTCCTCCTCCAGTGTTTTCTCGTTCTGTGACTGAATAACGAGAACCAGTGGGAACATGCCCCAGAGTCAGGTCACCAGCTGGCTCCGGCCAAATCTCCTTCCGGCATCTATTTTGTTTGGTTCACAAGGGGGCGTAACTGTCCTTTTACTTCGTTGCCACTGTTTAAACCCGGGAGAATTCACTTACGCCGCCAGGTCGTGGCCTTCTCCAGAAACGCAAGGGGCGGTGCGCCTCCCGGGGGCTGCGAAGGAGCCGGAGCACCGACCCCCTCGGGGTCGCCTCCAGCGGCCGAGAGGCGGCCACCTGCCTGGCCCCCAACGGCAAATGGCCTTGGAACCCTACTGAAAACCCACGATCGCTGCGGAACGGCCGGAAACCCCGGAGCGGGGGCCCCCTGTGAGCCGTCACGGCCGCAAGGCGCCGGGAAGGGTCCTGGGGCGCGGGGCACGCGTCTGCCCGCGTGGCTCGGAAACGGAGGCCTTGCTTCCCAGTCCGTGGGGACACCCGACCTCAGTCCCCGGCCCTGGTGCCCCTCTGCCCGCCCCGACTCTGTGAGCTGAGAGGCTTCTGGAACGTGAGCTCCTTAGGATCAAATCTGCGTTCTTTCAGGGACGCAGGAGCCCGGACGGCGGGGCGCGGCTGCGAGGGCGCCCGGGGCGTCCTGGGGGCGCCGCTGCCTACACGGATCTACACGGGCCGCGTAGCCACACCCACGTGCACACCAAGGAGTGTGTCTAAGGAGAAACTGCATCAGCCGCGCCGCCCCGACGCCGCTCTGCTGGGCTGGCGTTGCGCGGGGGCGGCCTCGGCGCCCGAGCTCCCAGGGCCGGGCAGTTCCGCGGGGGGGCGCGCTCCCCGCCCCGCGGCGCCGCTGCCCTGCGCCGTCACGGACGCACCGCACGCGCGCACACGCACCGCACGCGCACACACACACCATACGCGCAGACGCACCACACGCGCACACACCACACGTGCACACACCACACGTGCACACTCACCACACGCGCGCACACACCACACGCGCACACACCACACAGGCCATACACTACCAACAGATATCACACACATACACATGTACCACACCACACAACAGACTACACACACACACTATACACCCAACATCCAACACACCCAGCACACACACTACACCACACCGTACAAACCACACACATACCACATACACCACTCACACACCTAATACACAACACACCCAACACACATACTACACAACACCACACATAGTACGCACACACATACAGCACACCGTATCACACACGCGCGCGCGTGCGCCCCAAACTGCAGCCCAAGGCCTCCGTGTGTGCAGAGCTCGCTGGCGGCTGGGAGGCCTCTGCGCCGCGTGTCGCTCACTGAGACAGCCCTGGACGAGACGCCGGGGCCACGTCCCGGGACCGCTCGGCCCTCCCTTGGCCCAGCCCCCCGCTGCCCTGTCCCTTCCACCCCCACTCCTTCCGACAACACAGCAGCAACAAACGCAAAACCGAAACAGGTGACGTCTCCCTTTGTAACCGGAGCGGCTCAGCTACAGCACCGATGGGGTCCCCCTGGCACCCGCTCTGAGCAGAGTCCTCTCCCCTTGGGTCAGAGGCCCCTCGCGTTTACCTGGCAGCACCCCCACTCATCCAGAGCTTCCAGACTGCGTTCCTGAGTGCTCACTCCTCCCTCCCTCCCTGCACCCCTTCCTTCCCTCCTCCCACAAATATTTGGTTGGGAACACAGTCCTGAGGACCCCAAAGTGAAGAGCAGTGACCCGCCAGGCGCCTGAAGGGCTCAGCCGGTCCAGCGACCAACCTCTGCTCAGGTCACGATCTCAGGGTTTGTGAGTTCAAGCCCCGCATCGGGCTCTGTGCTGACCGCTCACGGAGCCTGGAGCTGCCTTGCATTCTGTGTCCCCCTCTCTCTATGCCCCTCCCCCAGCTTGCACTCTTTCTCTCCAAAATAAATAAACATTAACAAAATTTTAGAAAAAAGACAAAAAAACCCAGCATCCCGGCAGGTGGCCCCCTCTGTCACCCTAAACGTAGACCCTCGTTCCAAATGAAAACTGTCCCTTCCCCTTTCCAGAGTGATGATTCTGACTTTTAATTTCGTAGAAAATGAATTTTGGAATGTGTGTCAGTCCAAAGCCAGCGCTACCCTGGGCAGACGGGGGAGAGTCTGAACGCGCAGCTCAGTGTGGGGAGCCCAGTTATGCTGCTTTATTGTGGCCCGCGGCCTCTATCCTTTCTGCCAACGCAGAGCTTGAAGGAGTGTCCAGCGCCTCTGACGTCAGACAGTATCGACATCAGAATGTAATGGTAAACCGAGCCCACTGCACATTTGCTTTGGACGCTCAACTCCCAGAACCGGGTAAATCTATTGTGTAAAAGGATTGCCCAACTGCTCACTGGTGTGCATTCATTCGGCAGGTGGCAAGTGGTGTCCATCCAGCCCCGGGGAGGGAGCAAAGAGCAGAGAGTGACACAGAAAGTCCCCTGGCCCCTGGGGGAGCTTGCATTTGGGCGACATTTGTCGTCAACAGACCATGAGCATCCAGTTTTGGGAGGAAGTGTCAGCAACTTTCAAACGCTGAAGGAAAGGAAGCAGACAAAGAAAGGACTTTGGAGGGTTCGGTTCTCAACAGGGAGGCGGGGAGGCCGCAGGGAAGGAGGATTGAACAAAGTCCCTCAGGGGGTGAAAGAACAGCCACCCCACCCCCTTGAGGGAGCAGAGGACCAGGAGTCTCCTGGGTGCAAGGGGAGCAGTTTCCCCGCGGCTGATGCAACAACGGAGCCGCCCACCGAGTGGCCCGAAGCAACACACATTTGTTCTCTCCCAATGAGGAGGCCAGGAGTCTAAAATGAGTCAGCAGAACCACACTCCTTCTGGAAGGCTCTAGAGCAGAATCTGTTCCCTGGTCTCTTCCAGCTTCCCCAGGCGCCACAAGCCTCAGCTCCTGGCCCCTCCGCCCTCCTTTGAAGCCAGCAGCGCCCGCCCATCTCTCTCTGCTTCCATTACCTTTTTTCTGGCTCTGCCCCTCCTGCCTCGTTCTTACGAGGCTCCTTGTGATGACACTGGGCACCCCTGCCCCCCGCCAAGTAGAGATGAGGAAAGTCTCCCGCATCAGCGTCCTTAACTTCATCACGTCTGCAAGTCCCCGTTGCCGTGTAAGCTCACAGATTCACGCAGCGAAGGAAGTCCTGGGTACAAAAGCGGAGTGAGTGGCCAACAGCATCGAATGCCCTTGGAAGGTCAAGTAAGGTGAGCCCCGGGAACTGAGCGTGGACCCATGAGTTCGGGCTCCCCTCGGACCTCGGCAGGACCAAGAATGTAGCAGCTTCTGTGGACAGCAGGACACCCCCAAAGTGTCCTCGGCAGCGACGGATGTCAAGCATCATGGCTCTCAAGTTCTCCGTGTACCAGCCTCTAATCAGCACACAATCGGGCATGATCCAACTACGCCACCCAATCTAGACCTTTCTCTAGTGCTAACCCTATTTGAGAAATACACAAATGTAAAATAATAGCTCTCTATTTGCTCTAGGCCAGGAGATTTAGGGACGGTGTTCTCTGGGTTTTGTTTGTTTCTTTTTAAAGTTTATTTATTTATTTTGAGAGAGAGAAAGAATGAATAGGGGAGGGGCAGAGAGAGTGAGGAGTGGAATCCCAAGCGGGCTCCACCCTGGCAACGCAGAGCCAGATGCAGGGCTTGAATTCACAGACTGTGAAATCGTGACCTGGGCCGAAGTCAGATACTGAACTGACTGAGCCACCCAGGTGCCCCTAATGAATGGCATTATTTTAAAGGACAATTTAATTTGGGGGCCAGCAAAAGAAATCTGGAAACTGAAGGTCAAAAGCTTTCAGGATTCCAGTGACATTAAATAATTTTATAACAAGTCACAATGCTGCATAAACGAGTCAAAACGATAATAAAATAGTTTACATTTATTTTGCATCTACTATACCATGTTTTTTTTTAGGCACTTGGCATTGATTGTTGCATTCATTCTTCGCAATAATAAAACCGGGAAGCTCAAATTACAGATGAGAAAATAAAGACTCAGAGAGGGTGAGTAACTGGTCAAAGGCCACAGAGCTGGGAAGCCGAAGACGATTTTGATGACCTGGAATGCCCCCTGGGCAGCTACAAGCTCGGGCAGTAGGGACAAATAGAATACAGCCCATAAACTGTCAGAATTTATTGCAGCTATTTGATGCTCCAAGATTTTTTCCCGACAACATAAAAGTAGATCACCCTTTCTTTTGTACTCGCTATATGTACTACTTAAAGAAATTATGCAGAGAAAAAAAAGTCCTTCTGTATTGGCTCCTTCAGCGCCCCCAGCCCCCAAATTAACTGCCGTTAGTGCGTTGGAGTTCACACATATCCCAGTTTCTCCCCCAAGATGCTTGTTCTCAGGCTCCCTTTAACCAGATTAAACGCAATAAAGCTTTTACTTATGATCTACTTCCCAAATGTTGCTTCTTGTATAAGCAGGACAAGGCAGAAATTATAAGGACAAAGTTCTAGAGAGTTCCAGAACACCTGGAACACATTTGCATAATAGTCAAATCCCCATGCTTGGACCCTGCCTCTTCCCTTCTCATAAACATTCTACACAATTTTAAGAATCCTTCCCTGTGGCTCCTTTGTCCCCAAACTCCTCACCCCTGTGGCCAAGTCCATGAGCAATTCCGAACAGCTCATTAAGTAAAAGTACATACTCTCTGTGTTCATACCAAAGTTCAAAGTATAACAATCTGTATAAAAAACATCGTTTGCCCAACAGGTTAGCTGGCGTGTTCGAAAACGGACACTCCTTTGCCACCCATTGGCTGAAACCAGTGATAGCGGAGAACGCTTTAGGCAAAGGAGCTCGGCTGTTATGTACTTTTTCTATGTACTTGTTTGGTACAAGTTATTTTTATGACACTTAGGTGAAGCCCAACTAATCATTAAGAGTAGATTAAATCACAATTTATGTACCAGCTGTTATTAGGCTTCGGAGTAATATAAATAAATACAACAGCCAGCAGTGCAGAAGAAGAACTTGATGCCTCCTCTCCAATCCTAATGTTGAACAGAGTGGTAATTAGCTCTCAGCTCTCCCTCCTTAGAAATGAGCTGATCGTAGGAGCACACAGTAATTGGGGCAGGATGAAAGTGCCTTAGGACCACGGCTACCTTCGAGCCTCTTCTGTGTTCAATTCTCTTTAACTTAAAGCAGGTCTACCGACCACCCTGGGAAATGCCACATCCGGTGTCCAAGCTGGAAATTCTGGGCACTGAAGTCCTTTTAGG